GATATACTCGTCCCTATATATTTTTCAGTTTTTATACTATTATAAATAGTATATTAAAATTTTTTAATTCTCCATGCTAAGATATGAAGTACCATTGATTTTTGGTTTTTGTTCATCAGCTTTGTAATCCTGCTATCTTTCAAAATCACTTAGTGCAAACCAATTTGGAGGGAGATTCTTTTTTGTTTTCTTTTCTCTCTTTTTCTGCCTTATTTTAGATTAGTTTATTTCTTACTTGTTCATTTTATCTCTATTGTTTTCTTATTAGGTGTATGTCTTTTTTAATACTTTTTTTTAGCATCACACAATTTTTATTTTCACATAATCATAATTTTCCAAATTTTTTTTCCTCCTCTTACTAACCCTTTGGATTACTTTTTTTTTCCATTTATTTTTATTAGTTGGAGACTAATTACTTTACAATATTGTAGTGGTTTTTGCCATACATTAACATGAGTCAGTCATGGATTTACACGTGTTCCCCATCCTGGACCCCCCTCCCACCTCCTTCCCCATCCCATCCCTCTGGGTCATCCCAGTGCACCAGCCCTGAGCACTTGTCTCATGCATCCAACCTGGACTGGCGATCTGTTTCACACTTGATAATATACATGTTTTGATGCTGTTCTCTCAGATCATCCCACCCTTGCCTTCTCCCATAGAGTCTAAAAGTCTGTTCTGTACATCTATCTGTGTTTCTTTTTCTGTCTTGCATATAGGGTTATCATTACCATCTTTCTAAGTTCCATATATATGCGTTAGTATACTGTATTGGTGTATTAATCTCAAAAATGTATAAGCAACTCCTGCAGCTCAATTCCAGAAAAACAAATGACCCAATCAAAAATTGGGCCAAAGATCTAAACAGACATTTCTCCAAAGAAGACATACAGATAGCTAACAAACACATGAAAAGATGCTCAACATCACTCATTATCAGAGAAATGCAAATCAAAACCTCAATGAGGTACCATTACACACCAGTCAGAATGGCTGCCATCCAAAAGTCTACAAGCAATAAATGCTGGAGAGGGTGTGGAGAAAAGGGAACCCTCTTACACTGTTGGTGGGAATGCAAACTAGTACAGCCACTATGGAGAACAGTGTGGAGATTTCTTAAAAAACTGGAAATAGAACTGCCATATGACCCAGCAATCCCACTTCTGGGCATACACACCGAGGAAACCAGATCTGAAAGAGACACGTGCACCCCAATGTTCATCACAGCACTGTTTATCATAGCCAGGACATGGAAGCAACCTAGATGCCCATCAGCAGATGAATGGATAAGGAAGCTCTGGTACATATACATCATGGAATATTACTCAGCCATTAAAAAGAATTCATTTGAATCAGTTCTAATGAGATGGATGAAACTGGAGCCCGTTATACAAAGTGATGTAAGCCAGAAAGATAAGCATTGGTTTTTATCTGTCTTTTTATCGTGTCATTTTGTATGTGTGTGCTGAAAGTGAAAGTGAAGTCACTCAGTTGTGTCCAACTCTTTGCGGCCCCATGGACTGTAGCCCTCCACACACCTCCATCCATGGGATTCTCTAGGCAAGAATACTGGAGTGGGTTGCCATTTCTTTCTCCAGTAGATATTCCCAACCCAGGGATCAAACCCAGGTCTCCCGCACTGCAGGCAGACACTTTACCATCTGAGCCACCAGGGAAGCTCATGTGCATGCTGGTGCTATGCAAAGTGTAATATCTTTACCAACTTTGTATATAAACATAAGACTAAACAATATGTAACCAGTCTCTGGAGTGACATTTAAGTCTGTGGAATGTCCCCAGCTCTAGTCTGTTTGGGTGTAAAGATGTAAATCAAAATATTGGAAAGAGTTTGACATTTGATACATGAATAGAATATTATAATAGCAAATTACTTTACTGTTTATTTATTTCATTTCATAAGCTCTGACTTAAGAATCCCTTAGGTGAATGAAGACTATTTGGCTTTATTACCTCTCTTTTCACAGAATTCAATTTAACCTTCCATTCTTGTTTTTTTCCTGGACATTTTCAAAGTTAGGTTCTTCTCTTTTCAAAGGAGCACAGAGTTCCTCATGGGCCCCGGGGGAACCATGATAATGGAGCCTGTAAAACTGGATGCTTTGGAGATGTGAAAGTAACCTTGATCAGACAACTGACACAGAGAAGATTTCAAGGCATAGTATAATCTTTAGTAAGGTTTAACTTTATTAAAGAGCTCAAGATTTTTTGTTCATTTATTTTTATTTGTTGGAGGCTAACTACTTTACAATATTGTAGTGGTTTTTGCCATACGTTGACATGAATCGGCCATTTATTTACATGTGTTCCTTATCCCGATCTCCCCTCCTGCCTCCCTCCCCATCCCATCCCTCCGGGTCTTCCCAGTGCACCAGCCCTGAGCACTTGTCTCATGCATCCAACCTGGACTGGTGATCTGTTTCACCCTTGATTGTATACTTGTTTCAATGCTATTCTCTCAGATCATCCCACCCTCGCCTTCTCCCACAGAGCCCCAAAGTCTGTTCTGTACATCTGTGTCTCTTTTTCTGTTTTGCATATTGGGTTATCATTACCATCTTTTTAAATTCCATATATATGCGTTAGTATACTGTATTGGTCTTTATCTTTCTGGCTTACTTCACTCTGTATAATGGGCTCCAGTTTCATCTTTGTGACTCCATGGAAGGCAGCATGCCAGGTTTCCCTGTCCTTCACTATCTCCTACAGTTGCTCAAACTCTTCCCTCGTAGCTCAGCTGGTAAAGAATCTGCCTGCAATACAGGAGACACCAGTTCAATTCCTAGGTCAGGGAGATCCACTGGAGAAGAGACATGATACCCACTCCAGTATTCCTGGGCTTCCCTGATGGCTCAGATGGTAAAAAATTGTCCTGCAATGCAGGGCACTTGGGTTCAGTACCTGGATTGGGAAGATCCCCTGGAGAAGGCAATGGCTACCCACTCCAGTGTTCTTGCCTGGAGAATTCCATGGACAGAAGAATATGGCGGGCTATAGTCCATGGGGTCACAAAGAGTTGGACATGACTGAGCGACTTTCACTTGATTTCACTTTTCATGTCCATTGAGTTGGTGATGCCATCTAACCGTCTAATCCTCTGTCACCCCCTTCACTTTCTCCACTCAATCTTTCCCAGCATCAGTGTCTTTTGCAATGAGTTGGTTCATCAGAACTATTTGGCAAGAGTGCAGCTAAAATTTTTAACATTTAAGTAGATTGACATGTTGCTGTTATATGTATTCTTTATATTTATATGCATAGAAGTAGATATGCAAATATTATTGCAATATATTCTTATAGAAAAAAAGCTATAAAATACCATATAAAATAAATCCCATTTATGTAAATAAAAAATTTCAGAAGTAAAATCCACTTTAGAAGGATAAATGAATAATGGAAGGGTGAAGTTCTCTGATGTATTTCTTTCAGTTCTTATCTATGTTATTGTGTTTGGGTTTCCATCATGAAGAAGAATTAATTTTAAAAGCAGAAAATCAAAAGGGAGTTTCCACTTGGAAAATAAATCCCTGCTCACATACTAGGTTATGACTTAAGTAGGGGAAACATTAAGTTAGTAGAGAAGGGTAAAGAGGTCTTTTACATCTTTTGGGGGGTCATACCCACAGGGCATCACCATGATGTTCTTCCTAAGGACAATGTTTCCTCAAAATCTGCCCTTAGGACCATGTGCGTCAGAATTCCCCGGCTGCAGAGTTCAAGGATGAGCATCATTGGAGGTGGAGCTGGGATCTGCAACTTTAACAAGCTTCCCAGGGGATTCTATGTGCACATCAAAGTTTAGGAATGAGTGCCCGAGGGCATCTGTCTTGGAGAGAGTAAGAAGAAAATTGAGCAATTAATCTATGTTTAATGCATGTCTCTAACCAGGAGTTGGGGGTCTGGTCCCTTGGGTCCTCTCCCTGTTGGGCAGATGATAGTGTTCACACTCTATTTCTGAAGTTGTGAATTGAGACAAACTCCATGGCTCATGTATATTTTTCTCTCTGATGCTGGTAAGAGGTTCAGGACCACAGAAGTGGCTACATCTGGTCTCCAGGTGTCCTATAGAGAAACTGAGAAACCAGTCCTTACTCTCAGCAGCCACATCACGTTAGCGTAAAGTTCAGAGCAGAACTGGTTTCCTTTGCCTATAGCAGGTGTGTTTGTGTGTGTGTATGTACACAGGTGGTCAGCTCTTATACTCGTACCTAAAGACAAGGGGAGAAGACATATCATGGCTTATCTCTTTGACACCTCTCTTTTTATTATGGGTGTGCCTATTTATGGGGTCAGGAGAGTTTGTTGGATCAAGAGAAGACTAGATAATGATAAATAGGAGTACTAGTAAAAAAAAATATATGTGACTGACAGTAATATTTTTACTTTGTAAAGCAGTGATATTGTAACATTGAGATCTAAGACTGTCTGAGTTCAGTCAAGAGATATGATTCTTTTCAATCTTTAGACATAATGGAAACTTGGGCAATGTATTTTTGATCCACTTCCCTTTGAAAATTTGTTGAAAGTTCCTCCCTATGCTTTACTTAAGAAAGGATTTTGAAGTCAGATTTCAAAAAAACATTATGTCACAATCTGAAGGTCAAACCATAGGATTATTCTTAAATGTACAGAAACAGAATAGAAATTAGGGAGATTTTAACTTACTATCTATCCCTCTACGAAGATGCTGTGACATTTTCTCTTTGCTGAAAGATACAGCTGCAAATTATGACTTAGAGGCAGCCTCTCTCCTAGATGATGGAAAAATACTACTGAGCCAGTTTCTGTTCTGTATCAAACCTCTTCTTGGTTGGTAAATTCCCTGTTTTACATGGTAATACCATTCATTTTAGATTTTGCAGGCACAGGACAATGCAGGCAGACACTGACATTCACCAGCAGAAAAGACTCATTATTATCTGCCTCTGTAGTAAAAATGTGCTTCTTTAATATCCTTTCTTTCACAGCAGACAGGAGAGGAGCATGAAGAGGGAAAATCAGAGCAGCATGTCTGAGTTCCTCCTCCTGGGACTCCCCATCCGGCCAAAGCAGCAGGGTGTGTTCTTTGCCCTGTTCCTGGGGGTGTACCTGACCACAGTGCTGGGCAACCTGCTCATCATCCTGCTCATCAGGTTGGATGCTCGCCTCCACATCCCCATGTACTTCTTCCTCAGCCACTTGGCCCTCACTGATGTCTCCTTTTCATCTGTCACCATCCCTAAAATGCTGATAAACATGCAAACTCAGGATCAATCCATCCCCTATGCAGGGTGCATAACACAGATGTATTTCTTCCTCTTTTTTACTGATCTGGACAATTTCCTGCTCACCTCGATGGCCTATGATCGGTACGTGGCCATCTGTCACCCTCTCCACTACAGCACCATCATGGGACAGGGGCTGTGCACCTTACTAGTAACTGTATCCTGGATTTTCTCCTGTGCCAATGCCCTGTGTCACACCCTCCTCCTGACCCAGCTGTCCTTTTGTGCTGACCACACTATCCCCCATTTCTTCTGTGACCTTGGTGCCCTGCTGAAGCTCTCCTGCTCAGACACATCTCTCAATGAGCTGGCCATTTTCACAGCAGGAGTGGCCATCATCATCCTCCCATTCATATGCATCTTGATCTCTTATGGACGCATTGGGACCACCATCCTGAAGGTCCCCTCCACCAAGGGGATCTGCAAAGCATTGTCCACATGTGGCTCCCACCTCTCTGTGGTGTCTCTGTATTATGGAACAATTATTGGACTGTATTTTTTCCCCTCATCCAACACCTCCAGGGACAAGAGCACCATTGCTTCTGTGATGTACACAGTGGTCACTCCACTGCTGAACCCCTTCATTTATAGCCTAAGAAACAGGGACATGAAGGGGGCCCTGGAGAGACTCTTGCACAGGGCAAAAGTCTTATCTCAATGATGTTTGCTTTTCTTTGTAATAGCCATGTGTGTTCACAAAACCTCAGATCCTACATGCCTAGATTTGAGCCCAGCATGGAATAAATATTCATTAAATGTTTGATAGTTGAAATGCATTCATTTACAATTACTGTCTATTTCCTAATAGTTCATAAGCATAAATTGTGAATTTTGAGTTTATGTTCTTGAGTTTTGATCTTGTCTATAAGGCTTAGAATTTGCATAACTGTTAGTACTTATGTCTCTTTTATTTCCTGGGAATTTATTACCTTTTAAAAATTTATTTAATTTTTAATTTACTTTTTATTGGAGGGTAATTGCTTTACAATATTTTGTTGGTTTTTGCTATATAGCAACATGAATCAGCTGTAAGTGTACAAATATTCTCTCTCTCCTGACCCTCCCTCCTACCCTCCCCACGTTTGCAGCCCTAAGGTCATCACGGAATACCACACTGAGTTTCCTGTGCGGTGCAGCAGTTTCTCATTAGCAATCTAATTTAAACAAGGTAGTGTGTGTATGTCAATGGTACTCTCTCAGTTTGCCCCAACCTCTCCTTCTCCTGAGCAAACTCTGAGACGGACAGGGGAGAATGGTATGCTGCCGTCCATGGGCTTGCAAAGAGTCAGAAAAGACCTAGTGACTGAATAACAACAACCCCTCCTCCAACTGGGTACAGAAATTCATTTTCTATGTCTGCCTCTCTATCCTTGCCTGTCAAGTTGGTTCATCACTAACATTTTTCTAGATTCCATATATAGACATTAACATAAAATATTTAGTTTTCTCTTTCTAACTTTTTTCACTCTATATGTCAGACCCAGAGACTATGTAGACCCATCCATGTTCTGGCAAATGGCACAGTTTTGTTTCATTTTGTGGCTGTATAGTATTCCATTGATATGTGCCATATCTTCTTTATATATTCCTCTGTCAGTGGACATTTACTGCTGTGTATGAAATAGATAACTAATGAGAATCTACTGTATAGCACAGGGACCTCTACTCAAAGTTCTGTTGTGACCTAAATGGGAAGGATATTTTAAAAAGAGGGGTATACATATGTATACATAAGGCAAATTCATTTTACTGAGAGCAGAAAATAACAAAACATTGTTAAGCAACTGTAGTCCAATAACTTTTTTTAAAAAAGTTTTTTTTGAAGAGCAAATGCATTGTATTTTTATGAAATCAAGATTCTATCTTTTCCTTGTAGTGTTCATGACTTTTATGTCCTATTTAAAAAAATATTGCAGGGGAGGAGCCAAGATGGCGGAGGAATAGGACGGGGAGACCACTTTCTCCCCTACAAATTCATCGAAAGAACATTTGAACGCTGAGCAAATTTCACAAAACCACTTCTGATCGCTAGCAGAGGACATCAGGCGCCCAGAAAAGCAGCCCATTGTCTTCGAAGGGAGGTAGGACAAAATATAAAAGATAAAAAGGCAGTCAAAAGAGCTACGGACGGAGACCCGTCCTGGGAAGGGAGTCATAATAGAGGAAGTTTCCAATCACCAGGAAACCCTCGCACTGGCGGGACTGGGGGAAGTTTTCGGCAATCTAACTGGGAGGAAAAATTAAACAAGGCCCACAGATTATGTGCCTAAAAGCAACTCCCAGCAGAAAAGTACCCCAGACGCCCGCACCCGCCAGCAACAAGCGGGGAGCGGAACGGAGAGGAGCGGGCGGCATTGCTTAGCGTAAGGACCGGCCCAAAGACCCTGAGAGCAATCAGAGGGAGCTTTTTTAAACTGTGGGATAGCAAGGGTCAAAATTAACAGGCCCGAACACACTGCCGGCGGTTCGCAAAACAAAGGGACTGAGAAAGTCCAGAGAAGAACCGGCCCATCCCCGCTGGAGGTTGGAGGCGGGGGGGAGGGGAAAAGGGCAAACTCAGCCCCTGAGAAGCCACCCCCTCCCACACTGCAAACAGGCCCCCGGGTCCTATCTAAAGACTTCCTGAGACCCGACTGGCGACGCGCGCTGGGGCCGCGGAGGGAAAAGGCGCGCCGTACCCGGGGAGATTGTGCCCAAGCCTCTGGCTGCCTGAGCCGCTCGCCGCGGAGGGAAAAGGCGCGCCGTACCCGGGGAGAGTGCGCCCAAGCCTCTGGCTGCCTGAGCCGCTCGACGCGGAGGGAAAAGGAGCGCCACCTCCGGGGAGAGTGCACCCAACCCTCTGGCTGCCTGAGCTGCCCGCCGTGGAGGGAAAAGGCGCGCCACCTCCGGGGAGAGTGCTCCCAAGCCTCTGGCTGCCTGAGCCGCTCGCCGCGGAGGGAAAAGGTGCGCTGCACCCGGGGAGATTGCGCCCAAGCCCCTGGCTGCCTGGGCCGCTCAGGCCGGGGAAGGCACAAAACGCAGGTGCAACCGAATCCGCGCTTTTGTGGAGTACCCGAAAACTGGAACCGCACTCAATGCAGGGCCCGCTCCATATAGAGCAGCCGGGAGCCTGAGCAGTGTAGACGGGGAAAGCACTGACACCCGTGAGCGGGGCAAACCCAGTGTGGCCGGAACACGGTGAGTGCTATCCACACAGAGCGGTATCTGTCTGCAGCGCCCGCCCTCCCCGTAGCAGGACTGAACTGAACTAGCGAACCTAAATAAGAGATCACCTCCGCCGGCCTGTGTCAGGGTGGAAATTAGACACCGAAGAGACGGCAAATAGAAGCCAAATAAACAAAGGGAACCGCTTCAGAAAGGACCGGTGCAACAGATTAAAATCCCTGAAGGTAACACCGACTACATCGGAAGGGGCCTACAGATATCGAGAAGTGTAAGCTGGAAAGAGGAGCTATCTGAAATTGAACTGAACCTACGCTGACCGCAACAACTCCAGAGAAATTCCTAGATATATATGTATATATATTTTTTTAATTAAAAAATTTTTTTCTTTCCTTTTATTTTTTATTTTTTCTCTTTTATTTCCTTTTAAAATTCCCTATTACTTTCCCATTACTCCTCAACTTTCATTTTCATATATTTTTACGATTTTTTTAATTAGGGGGAAAATTTTTTTTTTTCTTTTTCTTGTTTTCCTCTACTATTTCCTTTTAAAGTCCTATAATACTCCTCTATTATTCCTTAATTTTCATTTTCATTTCACTATAACCTTGCCAAAAAAAAAAAAAGAGAGAGAGAAACCCTATTTTTAAACTGAACTTCATATAAATTTCTAAAAATTTTTTTCTTTTGTTTTTGTTTTTAAATATTGTATTTCAAAGAGTCTAACCTTTACACTAGATTTTTAATCTTTGTTTTTCAGTATGTGATATAAATTTTGGACATTTAAGAAACTAATATTCAGTTCCCATTTCTATTCATGAGTGTGGTGATTACTCTCCCACTTTTGACTCTCTGTTTTCTACCTCAGAACACCTCTATTTCCCCCTTTCCCCTTCTCTTCCCAATCCAATTCTGTGAATCTCTGTGGGTGTCTGGGCTACGGAGAACACTTTGGGAATAGATAACTGCGTAGATCTGTCTCTCTCCTCTTGAGTCCCCTTTTTCTCCTCCTGCTCACCTCTATCTCCTTCCTCCCTCTCCTATTCTTCATGTAACTCTGTGAACTTCTCTGGTTGTCCCTCACGGTGGAGAATCTTTTCACCATTAACCTAGAAGTTTTATTATCAGTTCTGTATAGTTGGAGAAGTCTTGAGACTATTGGAAGAATAAAACTGAAATCCAGAGGCAGGATACTTAAGCCCAAAACCTGAGAAAACCAGAAAACTCCTGACTACATGGAACATTAAGTAATAAGAGACCATCCAAAAGCCTCCATACCTACACCAAAACCAACCACCACCCAAGAGCCAATAAGCTCCAGTACAAGACATACCACACAAATTCTTTAGCAACGCAGGAACATAGACCTGAGTGTCAACATACAGACTATCCAAAGTCACACATAACACATAGACCCATCACAAAACTCATTACTGGACACTCTATTGCACTCCAGAGAGAAGAAATCCAATTCCATGCACCAGAACGCTGACAAAAGCTTCCCTAACCAGGAAACCTTGACAAACCAATCGTCCAACCCCACCCACTGGGTGAAACCTCCACAATAAAAAGGAACCACGGGCCAGAAGAATACAGAAAGCCCACTCAGACACAGCAATCTAAACAAGATGAAATGGCAGAGAAATACCCAACAGGTAAAGGAACATGAAAAAAGCCCACCAAGTCAAACAAAAGAGGAGGAAATAGGGAATCTACCTGAAAAAGAATTTAGAATAATGATAATAAAAATGATCCAAAATCTTGAAAACAAAATGGAGTTACAAATAAATAGCCTGGAGACAAAGATTGAGAAGTTGCAAGAAATGTTTAACAAGGACCTAGAAGAAATAAAAAAAAGTCAATTAAAAATTAATAATGAAATAAATGAGATCAAAAACACTCTGGAGGGAACCATGAGTAGAATAACAGAGACAGAAGATAGGATAAGTGAGTTAGAAGATAAAATGGTGGAAATAATTGAAGCAGAGAGGAAAAAAGAAAAAAGAATCAAAAGAAATGAGGACAACCTCAGGGACCTCTGGGACAATGTGAAACGCCCCAACATTCAAATCATAGGAGTCCCAGAAGAAGAAGACAAAAAGAAAGGCCATGAGAAGTTACTTGAGGAGATAATAGCTGAAAACTTCCGTAAAATGGGGAAGGAAATAGCCACCCAAGTCCAAGAAACCCAGAGAGTCCCAAACAGGATAAACCCAAGGTGAAACATCCCAAGACACATATTAATCAAATTAACAAAGATCAAACACAAAGAACAAATATTAAAAGCAGCAAGGGAGAAACAACAAATAACACACAAAGGGATTCCCATAAGGATAACAGCTGATCTATCAATAGAAACCCTTCAGGCCAGAAGGGAATGGCAGGACATACTTAAAGTAATGAAAGAGAATAACCTACAACCTAGATTACTGTACCCAGCAAGGATCTCATTCAGATATGAAGGAGAATTCAAAAGCTTTACAGACAAGCAAAAGCTGA